GTCCCGTGACAATACTGCCAGTGGTGTTCAACACCAGTGTTTTGTATAATATAAAGATTATTATCAAAATAAATAAACAAATAATTAAAAAAGATTAAATTTGATTAATATTAGGTTAGAGTTAAAGCTTAAGATAAAACAAAAACATAGTTTATACCAAAATTTTGCAAAGAATTTTTTTTATTATAACACAAAAAGTAGTTTCATAAGCAAAATTTTGAGATATTAAAGGTTTTTTAAAAAACAACAAAGTTTATTTTAATTTTAAGTTACACCTGATCTTGACGTTACACTGCAGATCAATAATTTTATTGGTTCACTGGTGTGCTTTAGTAAAACCGAAATTTAAAATATTTTGGGTTTTTATTGTTTTTATAGCTATAAAAAAAGGTTTATAAAGTATAAAATATTTTTAAAAAAATTATATAAAAAAAATTGATATTTTTAAAATTGTAGGCAAATTTATGGTTTAAGAGATAAATCGAATTTTGTTTGGAAACCTGTGCGCATATTTTAAAATAAACAAAGCTTGTATTTTTAACTGGAACAAAAAATAATAATTTATAAAACCTTAAACTATAAATAACCTATATCAGATATGTACAATTTACATCATTAAGCATACAAAGTTCACGTGAACGTCATCTTTAGAATCTCATATCTCACTGAGCATTTTTGGTTTCAATCACTGCTTCTTCGTTTTCTTCAGATCCAGTTTCTGCTTGCTTCATGAAATCCACATTTCTATTTTCACTTCCAGTGGAAATAAATACAATTACACCAAACATAGCGCATGCAGAAAAAACTGCTATAGTCAGTCCGTAATTGGCTACACCATTTTTAGGAAACGCTTCACCCAGTACCGCTTCAATTTGAGCTGCTGAAGCAGCTATCAAGTTACCCAATTGATAAGTCAGACCTGGGAATGTCCCACGAAAAGCTGGTGGTGATAGCTCATTCAAATAAGCAGGTACAACACCAAAGGCACCCTAATAAACGAATTGGCCTTAGATTTTTTTTTTTTATATTTAAGCTTTATAAAATCAAATTATTTACCTGAACGAAAAAATAAACAATAAACGCTCCAAAAGTCACAAGTTGTTTATTAACAGGAATAGCTATTATAGGCAAAAATGCACCAGCTAATATCATCGCTATAACAACCGTTTTCTTACGGCCAAAATATTGGGACAAGTATCCACATAATGTACCACCCATAATAGCACCAATATTAGCTATAACAGTCGTCACAGTGACATCCTCTAAAACAATGAAATATACTAATTTTAGTGATATTCATTCAAAACATTATTCAAAGAAAGAAGTCTCATATTATACTGAGCGAATAGTACCGGGAGAATATGAGAGTTGTTTTGTAAGATACGTGGGGAAAAGATCCTGAGAGCCTATTGATGAAAAGTAACATTAATTAATGCAAATTTACGGAAAGTTAAATGTAATTATGAATGGTCTTACCATGGCTAGTGAAACTATAAAATGCCATTAACAAGATAGTATGAATTGTTTTCAACCAATAACTTTTAAACATCTAAATAAAAATACATCTATCATTATTAGTGATATTGTAATGTAAATATATGTTATACTAAATAGTTAATAAAATTAAATAATGACCGTTTTCATTTCATTGAACGTATTATGATTGGTTAACTTACGAGCCTCGTGTTGTTTTTCCCATGCTTTGGATTCAGGAACGAAAAAACGCATGAAAACGACAACAAGAGCGGGGAAAGAACCAATCCAGAACATTGCACGCCAGCCGAGAGTCTTGATTACAGCATAATAAAATATTGCAGCGAGTAAGTAACCAGTTGGATAACCTTGTTGTAAAATTCCAGAGAACAAACTAACAAAAATAAAATTGACAATATGAATAAATATAATTTAACAAAGATGAGATCACGGTCAAAATTGCTTACCCACGAGCTTCAGGTGGTAAAACTTCCATCGCTAAAGCTGCACCTAAGCCCCACTCACCACCCATCGCAATTCCAAAGATAGCTCTTAATGCTACGAAAACTTGGAAATTTGGCGCAAACCCAGAAACTAATTCCACCACGCTATACAAGATGATATCGGCCATTAATGGATACTTTCTGCCATATTTATCAGCCAGTAGGCCAAAGATTAATGCACCAACAGGACGTAGTAATAATGTTACCGTAATACTTTATCGAAATTGAAACGCGAACAGTTAATAACTAAATCATAAAAATAATTCTATTCCACTTTGATAATTCATTACTAATCGATATTTTAAGCTTAATTGACTAATATTAGTAATATTTATTAATTGTCAATATGATTAAAATTACCTCGTAGCAATTTCAGATGGTTTCATTTTAAATTCATCAGCAATACTGTGGCAATAATCATAATAATAAGCAAAATTTTCGTGCAGAATATGAAATGTGAAAGATAAAATTGACGCACTATGGTAAAGCAAACGAGACGACAAAGAAGTCGAAGGCATCTAAAGACCATCCAAGAAACGCCGCGATAAAGGTCATTATCTGATACCTCTCTAACGATCTTATAAGTTTCCATGGATTAACAGGTTTGTTAGCACCAGTTTCATCGTTCATATCCACGACATGGTTTTCTGTCTCTTCAGCCATGGATATATCAATGATATTTAGAGAAATAAAACAATTGATGAATAAGTGTATTTTATATTCACGGTTTTATACAATTATTTCCGTCACTTTGTACATTAATAATCTAAGCATAATAATCATTAATTATAAATCCGCACGCCACACAGAAACATTATTTAATTACTAACCCATTGTTTCTTGTGATCTCGTTTATGGTTATTGACATTGTTTACGATATTTCGATATATTTATATAATATCAAAAAATGCTTTGGATGTCCATGGTGATGCAGCACTATGCATTATAGTACTAATATAGTTATAATTTGGTCTCTCAATGACGTTACGCAAAGGTTTACGTAGTTCGTCAAAATAAAAGCTCCAAAATAGAAGATATGTTCACACGTCCTTTATTATTAAACCTTCTTTAGCTATTAAATGAACCATAACTGACAATGAAGATTAGACTTATTTGACTAGGCTTCCGGCTATAAGTATTTAAGTTATTATAATTGATTGCCAATTGTGGATTGTAAATTGGGGTCTTTACAATTAATGATAATCCTACGGGACATACAATAATTAAGCTTGAGTGTTGCCAAATGAAAACCCAAAAATCCAAAAATAAATCACTTAAGTGACTATTTTTAGATTTCTCATATGTAAACATAATAATAAACCGTATTAGACCGTGGGACCGTTTTAAAGAACCAATTCAGTCCCTGTGATACTCGCATTATCCTTCAAGTTGCTCTGATGGACAGATTAGTAAATCGACCAAAATCTAAAGTCGGAATAGGCTCGGGCTGGGCCGGTATTAAGCCAACTTAGCGTTAGGGATGATGATTGTATGCAAATCACATAAAACCGCATTAAATAATCGACAATACATAATAGGTTAAATTTGCCACATAATGCTGCATAAAGTAGATTTACTATCATAGTGCAGACTATATGATTGGCCCACTATGCAAGCTAACATTTTTTATATTGGCGCCAATTTTTTAGCCGTTGTGTAACATATTTAGCCAATAAAAATGCAGAAAAACTTAATATAATTTTAAATCTCATTAATAAATTTTAAATTTTTGTTAATAAATTTAAGTTTTTTTATATATAAACGCCAAAATTTGGTCACTATACTGTATAAATTTAAATTTATATTCTGTTCTAAATGCAAAAGATACTTAAATTTTTTTTTGTAGATTTAATAGTTTAAAATAAAAGGGCTTTATAATTTATGCTATAGCGATGCTACCCGGGTCTGATTCAAATCAAAATCCCGAAAGTTAATTGTCGCATCAAGTGATATCGGGGGTTCAATATTTAAACTCCGCCTATGATCAGTAATCTAAAGGTAACCTATATTACTAATCATAAGTGGAGTTTGAATATTAAAACCCAGACATCACACGACGCGCGACAACTAAGTATCAGGGAGTAGCGATACATCGCTATGGTGATAAAAAATAAAATCCTAAATAAAAAGCTATTAAATATATAAAAAAATTTTTTTTGAGATGGCTTTTCGTGAAATCCACTGTAGTAATTTAATAATAAAAATCGTGTATTTTTAAAATGTTCTAACTCCTGCTTTAGTAAAGCAACACCAATTCTGTAACGTACAGATGATATATAAATAGTGTGGTTTTAAAACTATGTTGAGACATTTTTCAATTTATTTTATTAATGTGGCGAAAATTATGAATTAATAAATTTTAATAGTTATTTAAACGATTAAGTTAGAGACCTAGAGTTCCAATCTGGATAATCCGTCATCCATTTTATCCGTATCTGAATTATCCGAATCATCCAGATCGGATAAACAGATCAAAATATCCGGATAAGCTGACAGATATTCGGATAATTATTTGGATATCAATAGTAAATGGATATCCGGATAAATTCAGAACGATAACGAATATCTGATAATTATCCGGATAAACGGATAGTGGATTGGAACTCTATAGAGACCAACATAGTTTTAAAATCGCAATATTTATACATCCTTTACACGTTACAGAGCTGAATTTTCTTTACTAGAAAGAGAGTCAGAACATTTTAAAATACATGATTTTGTTATTTAAACGATTAACACATTAATAATAAATATGACAATATAGTTTTTTAACATTGCAATATTTACTTAGTGGGCCAATCATATAGCGCTACACTATGATAGTAAATCATATAGCGCTACACTATGATAGTAAATCATATAGCGCTACACTATGATATAGCGCTACACTATGATAGTAAATCACATAGCGCTACACTATGATACGTAGTAAATCATTTTGTATCTAACACCCCAATAAAGTATGTTCTATTAAGTAAATTTTGCATAATTGGCCCTCAAAGTACAGTTCCGAAAGACTCCAAATAGAAAATCAATCAACGCAAATTACGAGCAAGGTCGAAAAAAATTACGGTAAGTTCCGAAGTACTCCGAATGGTTGTTTTCGTACGTATTAAAATTGTGTTATGGCGCAAAACGTAGCATAATCATACATACATAAATATAAAATTTTGGAGTCTTTCGGAACTGTACTTTGAGGGCCAATTATGCAAAATTTACTTAATAGAACA